CCCCTTATTCAAGAAAAACTTATTCAAAATAACCTCCAATCTCTAAACCCTCAAATGATCCAGTACCCTAATAATTATAGTAACATTGATTTCTTACAACAAACTCCAAGTCTTGTACACTTACAAGCCAACAATTACAACAACAACAACAACGACAACGACGATGACAATGTTAACAATGGTATGATTAGTAAGGAGCAAGTTGAAGAGTTGGAAAACTCTAGCTTAAATGGGTCTGCATCATCAAGGAGCTCAAGCCTTGTTAATAACAATAACGATAACAATAACAACAAAAATAACAAGACTAGTATTTTTGTTGGTATGACTAATAATACTAGTGTTTCGAAAACTGAAGGGTATTCAACAGGTATGCAAAGGGTTTTAAGCTTTCAAGCCGAGCTTAACGAGCTTCTTGGTGGTGATAAGTTGGCCGGTAACGAATTCGACGGGATCAATGGATGGTGGGATGCTTCAAGTGTTGTTCTTCAGCCTGAGAATAGTACAACTATGTTGTACAACCAAGATTATGCTTAATTATTAATTTTAATAATTTAAGTTATTATAATTATTATTATTTTCTTGTAATTAGTGGTTATAGAAGGTGTAAGATTTAGGTATAGATCTTTGTGAGCTTTGTAATGATTCATGGAAATTGTAGGAGGCCTTGGATAAACAAGTGATCGATGTTGGATCGTCACTTCGATCTTGTATATTGTGAAAGTATTAACTGTAATGAATTTTTAATAAAATTGTTATTTTCTAAAGAATTAAACTTTGACAAGTGTTTTTTAGTAGTTATGAAGTAATTATTATTATTACTATTGGTGTAGAAAGACGTATGGAATTGTAGTGTGCAAATAATGTAGATTAGATCTAATTTTGAGTTTTGGTTGCCTGGATGCTAGTCACTAAAATTTTGATTTTATATGAGATAATTGATATCCACTTAATTACTTCGTACTCGTATGAAATAATAGTGTTGTTGATTTTGGATTTTGAGTTGGTTGATCTCAAGGTAAAAACGACTTTTGAATCTTTGATGAAGCCAAAAGGTTTAAAATTCTCGAGAGCGTTACATGTAGACTTTATTTTATTTCTTCAAAGGTTTCTGTCTACTATCCAACGAAACCACAACCAAGGGAACGAGCTTGGCAGAATCAGCGGGGAAAGAAGACCCTATTGAGCTTGACTCTAGTCCAACTTTGTGAAATGACTTGAGAGGTGTAGGATAAGTGGGAGATTCGGCGCAAGTAAAATACCACTACTTTTAACGTTATTTTTACTTACTCCGTGAGTCAGAAGTGGGGTAATGCCCCTCCTTTTAGACCCAAGGTCCGCTTTGCGGGCCGATCCGGCAGAGGACATTGTCAGGTGGGGAGTAATTTGGCGGGGCGGCACATCTGTTAAAAGATAACGCAGGTGTCTTAAGATGAGCACAACGAGAACATAAATCTCGTGTGGAACAGAAGGGTAAAAGCTCGTTTGATTCTGATTTTCAGTACAAATACAAACTGTGAAAGCGTGTCCTAACGATCCTTTAATTTAGACCTTTTGAATTTAAAGCTAGAGGTGTCAAAAAAGTTACCACAAGGATAACTGGCTTGTGTCAGTTAAGCGTTCAGATCACAGTCACATTGCTTTTTGATCCTTCGATGCCGACTCTTCCTATCATTGTGAAGCAGAATTCACGAAGTGTTGGATTGTTCACCCCCCAATAGGGAACATTGGGTTTAGACCGTCGTGAGACAGGTTAGTTTTACCCTACGTACTGATGACAGTGTCGAAATGGTAATTCAACCTAAGCTAGTACGAGATGAACTGTTGATTCACACAATTGGTCATCACGCTTGGTTGAAAAACCAGTGGCGTGAAGCTACAGTGTGCTAGATTATGACTGAACGCCTCTAAGTCAGAATCCAGGGCGGAAGCGACGCATGCGCCAGTCGCACGATTGTCGTCCGATTGTCGTCCTACAGTAGGGGCTTCGACCCCCAAGGGAACGTATCGTAGGGCTAAGCTCGCGCGGTGGATAGATGCGCCGTGAGAGCCACCTTGAAGTACAATTCCTACCGAGCGGCGGGTTGAATCCTTTGCAGACGACTTAAATACACGACGGGGTATTGTAAGTGGCAGAGTGGCCTTGCTGCCACGATCCAGTAAGATTCAGCCCTATGTCGCTTTGATTCGTCCCTTCCTCCCCACCCTATTCCCTAAAAACACACACACACGCACACACACACACACACACACACACTTACACACACACACACACACACACACACATATATATATATTGGAAAACGAGGTTAGCGTTGCTTCTTATATGCTAAAAAATGCTAAGTAGTGGATTGAGACAAGTCACAAAGCCAAAGTGCTGGGGTGTGGAATGGTGCAAGGGGGCGTGTGACATGTGCACCCAAGGACAAGGTATACAAACAACTAGTTTTGTCGTTTGAGGGTATGCCATCGTTGCCTTAAGACATGGTGATTAAGGATGAATGAGATGGTTCTGGGCATCATCCATGACTCCCAAGGCCTTTTGATAACCCATGGAAGTACTTGGATGCATAATCTTGTTGGGTGAAAAAATGAAGTACGGAAGCCAAATTTGAAGGCTATAATACATGAAATCGGAGCAATTTAGGAAGTGTTGGGACCCGGTGTAAGAAAGTCACAGAATATTACGGGATGCATCCCGAGATCATATGATATTGTTTAGACCCATATACAACCATAAGTCGGCTACATAAAGGCCCCGTGGAAGCTTATAGCCAATACAAGTGGTGTGTACGGACACTGGTAAACTGGATGCTTAAAGGCAAATTGGATGATTCCACCCACCCAATTGGACTCCCGAAGGGTATTAGGGTCTACCAGTAGCTTCCCGTCAATTTTTGTTTCCGGGTAAAAAAAAAATAAAAAATTGGCAAAATTGAAGCCTATAATACACGCTTTTTGGCCAATTTCGGAGGTTTCGGGATCCTGTGTCGAAAAGTCTCGAGATACTAGGGGATTCATCCCAGGGTCATATAATGTCGTTTGGAACCATATATGATCATTATATGTTGCCATAAATGTCTGTGTAGCCTCGAGTTTATGAAATCGGTGCAACTTGTAGACAGGTAAATTGACAGTTTGAAGGTATATTGGATGGTTTTACCCACCCAAATGGACTTCTCGGGTGTGTTAGGGTCTATGGGAAGTATCTCGACAACTTTTGTTTCCAAGTCTAAAAAAGTGAAAAACTGTCCAAAAGTGAAGGCTATAATACACGATTTCGGGTCATTTTTTGACATTTTTTTGAAAACCGAACTGAATATGTGGGGTGACTCTCGAGTTCATATAAGGTGGTTTGAAACCGTAACACACTTATAAAGATGTCTATAAAGTACCAAGAATGAGTTATGTTTCTATTTTGGAATTTTAGAATATAATGATGTCACAACAATATATTGAAGTGATAGTACTTGACAATAATGATGTCATATGAGTTTAACGATGTCATAAAAGTATATTATGATGTCAATAATTGTATTGAAGTGATGTGACTTGACAATAATGATGTAATATGGAAGTGATATTACTTGACAATAATGATGTAATATGGAAGTGATATTACTTGACAATGATGATTTCATATGAATATAATGATGTCATAAGTATATTGAAGTGATGTGACTTGACAATAACGTTAGGAGCCGCCACCCTATTTGGACATGAACAAACTAAAGGACAAGTTTTTATAAAATGAGTCACAAAACAAAAGATTAAATTTAAAGTTTATTTTAATAACAACTTGAACAATTCTAGAAATCCTAAATTTTTTCTTATTGTTCTTGTTCAAAGAACATTGGTTATCAAATCACGCAACTAGACTCAAGGTTTAATTTAGGTTAAAATAAAGTTACAAATTAATTGCAAGTACTCATGTTCTTGGTCTTTTATCTGCATAATAGATTTTTACTAATATTTTAATGTGTTCATCATTGAAATTATTTGTTGAAGTAGTAAATCATGTAAATATTGATAGTCACACTCATGAATCCATTTAAAACTTATGGTATGGTAGCTTATGTTGTATGGCCTGGGTGGACTAGAGTAGTAGGTAGAGCACAAAAGTTGCACCATGTATCCATGTAAATATATATTGATATATAGTCATACTCATGATGATGAGTTCATTCAAGATCAATAATATGCTGAAAGTATGTGGTTCATACTAAGGGTGTATTATAGAAGTAATGGTCACGTACACTAACAAATATAATCCAATTAATTGAATCCAAACCCCAACTTCCCTAGCTATATCAAATTAAAGTGATAAATGTAAACTTCTTCAAATGAGATTGGATGATAAGATTGTTAACCTTTAGTAGGCTATTTTGTGAGAAAAAAAAATGGTGGTAAACTTACATTAGCCCATATTTTTCTCACAAAATAGCTTAATGTCATTATGTTACTGAGGTTATCATCCAATTATCATTCATCATTTGAAATAAAAATGCTATCATGGAATCCATGGGACTAGATTAACTAAAGCTTAGACAGTTGACATCCTTGAAAGAAGCTCATAGCCTACAAAATTTATGATCGCGACACTAGTAGAAAAAGGATTTCCTATTTGTAACTGGTGGATGGATCATGGGATGGTTAATTTGATATGTTGCCAGCAAATTAGTGCTTTAGGAAAACGTGTTACAATCCCAAATTGAATTGGTTGTCATCATGTTTGATTAGTAAAATGCTACCAACATAGAAAAAGATAGATGGAAAGCGATTTCATTAAGGCAGTAGATTGACTAGATTTCAAACATCGTTCTCGTGCCCAAGAAGAATGAATGTGTTTGTGTATGCATCAAAATTTTAAATATAAAAATAGCATGTTCTCAAAGAGGATTTCCCACTATAAGTGAAGCATTGTAAATTTGCAATCCTCAAATCAGTCATGACTAATGAGAGCATTAATCACGCATCGCTTAATAAGTAATTGTAATTAGTATTATATACAATCTGATATGCCCTACACACAATTAACTTTGCCATTTGATTGTAAAACCCTTACCATTAAAACCGTGTACCTTTCTGATCTAAAAAAAATGGTCATAGCACCCCTCGTTATCTCCGGCCCCATGGCCCTGAGCCGGTAAGCCCTAACCCATTCAAGTATCCAACTACCCATTCAACTACCAATTCAATACTCCACCCAATTACGCAGTTTAATACGGACTCAACTAACCAAATCTTTTCCCACCAAAAAATTCTATCTTTTCTAGCAACTAGCCGTTTCACTCTTCAGTCTTCACTTCCACCCAATTCTCCCATTTTCTCTCTCCTCTTTCCGCCATGAAAACACTCTCAATTCTCCTCAAAACCTCCCTTTCTCTCTCCTCAACTCCACCCTCTCTCCTCCATTGCCGCTTCATCTCCTCCCTCCCTCTCTCTCACCCAATCTACACAATCTGGGCTGCCAACACCAACCTCGGCAAAACCCTAATTTCCGCAGGAATTGCTTCTTCTGTCCTTGAATCCCAAAACCCATCTCAATTTCACTACATTAAGCCTGTTCAAACTGGGTTTCCCTCCGATTCCGATTCCCTCTTTGTATTCAACAGGGTTTGTGATCTCTTCCTTCGTCGTCGCGCTGAATTCTCTCTTGTTGCGTCGAATCATGTTGTTAAGGTGTCGGATGCTGCTGCGAAGGAGGTTAATGGGGATTATGAAGAGAGGAAGGTGGGTGGTGTGATGGGGTTTGGGGAAAAGAGGCTGATTTGTAGGACTTTGTGTGCGTGGAATGAGGCGGTTTCGCCGCATTTGGCCGTGGAGAGGGAAGGTGGGGGTGTGGAGGATGAAGAGTTGTTGGAAATGGTGGAGAAATGTTTGTGGATGGGTGTGGAGGGTGAGGAGAAGAGTGAGTGTTGGAGTTTGATTGAAACTGCTGGTGGTGTTGCTAGTCCTGGACCTTCTGGTACTCTTCAATGTGATCTTTATAGGTACATTAATGCTTATCCTATAGCTTTGATTTTTATGTGTTGTTTTGTGCAAGAGTTTCCTTTACGAAAGGTTTGCTTCCTTTTGATGATTCATGTTAGCGGACCCCAAATCATTACAAAAGGTTGTTGTATTATGATGTTGTTGATGGTAATGTGAAACTATTATGGTTGTTTGATCTTGTAGTATTAAATGGTGGTAATGAGAATGTATTCATAAGAATAATCTATGTCCATTGCTATGGTAATGCTAATGCTAGTTTAAGACGATGCGTTTGTTACTGGCTGTTCGTGCAAGATGAATTATATAGTTTGTTTATGTGATATTGTTATAAAGATAAAGCAGGATATTTATGCTAATTTATAAACAATAGGCCAAGTTCTTTCAATCGTCAAGTCTGCAGCAATCTCTGTTTCCTTTTTGTACCTTTCACTCTCTCCTTGATGTTGAAATGAAGGGATAACTAAGGAGTTTCTTATATCTTGTGAATCTGATTGTTTTTGTCAAATAGTTTCCTGTATTGATTTAGCATTTTCACTTATCTGCAGACCTTTTCGTATACCTGCTGTTCTTGTCGGAGATGGAAGGCTAGGTGGTATTTCTGGGACTATTTCTGCATATGAAACTCTAAAGCTTCGAGGCTATGACGTGGTAGCTGTAGTACTTGAAAATCACGGCCTTGCAAATGATGGCTCCTTGCTGTCTTATTTACAGAACAGGTAATATGTGAGGACACTTTATTTATATCTTAGTGAATCTACTTCGAACTGAACAACTTTTTGGCCATCGGTATAGTTATTTGACGAGCCTGTAGGGTCTCTCTCTATTTTAAGTCTTTTTTTCTTATGGATGCTCAATGGAAGAGAGAGGGGAGTGGTTTTTTTTTTTTTTTTTTTTTTTTTTTTTTTTCCCAATATCTTTGAATTACTCCTTTTTACAACATATGATTTCTAGATATGTTAATTTTACTTCTATACATAATAATTAAGGATTTCATTTTAATGCATTTCTAATCGATGCACGGGAAGGTTAATAAGTCTTTAACTTGTGTTGATGTATTCATGCTTTCTTCCATAACTGTTGAGCTAGTTCTCTGTTAATGGTGTGAATTTATCTTAGCTTGCCAGTTCTTGTATTGCCACCTGTTCCACAAGATCTATCAGATGACCTGATGGAATGGTTTGATGAATCCCATGATGTATTTGCTTCCCTGAAGCAAATAATGCTGTCAGCATTTTCTGAGAGAGTAAAGCGATTGCATGACTTGCAAAAGAAGGCAGGAGACATCCTATGGTGGCCATTTACACAACATCAGTTTGTACCTAAAGAAAAAGTCACAGTAATAGATTCCCGTTGCGGTGAAAACTTTGCAGTTCACAAGGTGGATATACGTTTATCTTGTTTACGGTCCTTAAGCTATAAATCCTAACTCTTTAATTTTCATCAACGACTCAATAAAGTAGTTAAAGTGGGGCTATATTGATATGTATAGTCTCCAATTTGTATTAACTTTAAGTCATCTTAATATAATTACCAGCAACTCATTCCCCTGTTGACATGTGGTTGCGTAGGTGCTGTTAGTTTTTTTTCCTCCTTCAAGTAACATTTTCATCTTTTGTAACTTCAGGCTGACAATGGCGATGTCATGACTCAACAGTTTGATGCTTGTGCTAGTTGGTGGACTCAAGGACCTAGTGCCTCCTTACAGGTTATAGTTTTCTGCTCTTTGCTGAAGTATTTTTTTCCTTCTGTTTTTTCCAGTTGAGAGTAAAGACTGATTAGTGATTATGACTTAATTCTTTAATAGCTATACTCTTCCTTGTTCTTTGTATGTTTTATTAAAAAAATTATTTTCTTCTTTTTTGGATAAAAGAGTAAATACATGTAGCAACCTGGGAGACTGGATGCCTTTGATTCTTTGAAGCAGGATAGGGGTATCTTTTATAAAATAGTACAGTTATGCTGAATTTACTCTTTGAGTCTTGGTACATATATTTATATAACTCACTGTTAAATATCTGTATGGAAGTCAGGCAAACCGCTCAATACAAAAGTTAGGCTTATCGTGATATTGTCTTCTAAACACATCATCACACTAAGGAGGTGTTTGGTAGCAAATTAATAAATGTAAGGGAATGGAAACAAATTAGGAGGGGAAAGGGTAATATATAGTGTTACCCTTACTAGTTGTTTGGTATTACTAAGGAAACGTAAACAATTATAACCAATCCGTTTCCTTTTGTTTGGCATAGATAACTTGGAAACAAATAGTTATCCTTTTATTTTTAGTTGTCTTGGCTAATTTTTAATACACATTATGCAATGTAGAGCAACACTAATTACCAAAATATATATATATTTATATATTTTTAAAAAAACCAATTACCATAATATATCATATGCTAGATCTATTCAAAAAAAAAAAAAATGCTAGATATAGGCAAAGTCATATAAATTATTGATCACAATTGCATTGATATTATAGTATTCTAAAAAAAAAAACATTTAAAAACCATTGAAACATTAACTCTAATAACAACTTTTGACAAAACTTTCTATTTCTTCCTAAAGAGATCAATTGCATATTGTTTCTTTATATTAGTTGGCGCTTGATAGAAGATGCGGAGGTTATGTTCTTCCGCCATAAGAATTCTAGCAACCTCTAAAGTTTTGGATGGAGAAATTTCATCTAATGTCATCACCTCATCCAAAACCTTATTCACTTTTTCATCCATTCTTTGCTCCCTTTCTTCCGCTTTAGACCATGCACTAGCCAGTCCTGAGATTATAAAAGTAGTGTCGTGTAATTATTGAAATGGGAAGATGAGAATAATGTTGCTATAAAAATATAGTGAATTTGGAAAACTTGATGCACCATCTGGGAATATACAAGTAATCAAATAAGGGCAATAAAACTAGAAGATGATAAACTCAACTTAGCTAAACATTTCATCAAACAGCTTGTGTGCATAAATAAAAGTATCACTAGATAAAGTACTCATCATATTCGCAGCAATTATGACACGTAGTTTTCTGAGCTAAACAATTCATCCAACACTTTGTGTGCAACACAATATAGATTGACAAGATAACTTACACTCCTTTAACATCATCAATCTTAGATTAATTTATAATTAAATTGTTAGTGACGAATAAATGTCAACAAACAATCATACTAAATAAACTTACAAATTCAAAAATACTTACAAATTTGAGGTAGAAGATTGTAAAAAAAATGGAGCAAAATATGAAGAATAGCAGTTTTCTTAGGAGAATTCTCAACTGAATTGTCAAAAAAATTTGGAAATTCTCATGAAAAATGAAGATCGAGAGGAGAGAGAAAAGAAAATAATTTGTCTTTTGTGATAGAGGCAAGTAACGTTAATCGTTTCCCCAAGATTTACCCTGGAAACAAAAGGGTGGAAACGGTTACCACAAGGTAACGGATTTTGTTTCTTTACTTGTCAACCAAACACATGGTAAGGGAAACGGTAAGTTGATTCCGTTTCCACCCATATCAAAAACTCATACCAAACAGCCCCTAACCTCTTTTCCTTTTCCAAACACCCATGAAGAAATTACCTTGTGTGACTTGTGGCCGCTTCGGAATATCATCAGTGTTGATCCTTCCAGATCATGCTTCAAGGAAATCTTATTACCTCAAGGCACTTTTGATTTCTAACCAAACTAGACTGGAGCAGATTTTGTTTAAACTTGAAATAAGCACAGCTTTACACCATGAGCTGGAAGGATCCTGAATATTAGTACTATAATACTTATATAGAAGCACTACCAAAATTTTAGTAATGAGGGTTTTTTTTTGCTTATTACTTTATTAGAGTCATCCTCTCCAAATCAATGTACATATAGAGCATCATGAATGATGCATGATTGGACAAAATGTGGAATCTAGCAATAAATGCCCCCTTTCCCCTTATATATATTTTAATTTATTGATTTCCTTAATCTTAAATTTTTTGTCCCCAATAGTTTGGTAACAAGTTAAAAATATAGTTACATCTCTGAAATGTACTTTCAATAAAAGCATTTGTAGCAAAATTTTAAGAGGTTATGATTGAATTGAAATGTCATATTTTAGGCACCCTTCAAAGAAAGATAACTAGAAGTTGGACTGCTGGAGTATAAGTTGGTGTATAGTATAAATGTATTCAATGTGCAAACTAAAAAATAAATTTAAGATGCATGATATGATGTAGTACCTTTTTTTTTGTTGTTGTTTTTATGGAAGTTCTTTAATGTTGTTTATTAATCTAGGTTGTTTTAGATTGAATTGGCTAGAGATATGGGTTACGCTGCTGCAAGATATGGGCATGTGATGTTTCCTGAGAATGTTTATGAACCTGCGTTGGAATGTGCAGAGCTTTTGCTGGAAGGAGTTGGAAAAGGTGATCCTGGTTTATATATATATAATTTTGCATGGCAATGCCAATGTGTCCTTAGTGTGTTTCATTTTTTCCACTGCTAGCTTTACTCTTCTGCTGTTTGTTCCTGTTCAAATATATATGTTTACTTAAGAAGATTCTACATCTAGCTGAGACGCTATGTGTCTTATTCTGGACATGTCATTTTTACCAGTTACTTTATCTGAATTAGCTCTTGTACAGGTTGGGCCTCTCGGACGTTCTTTTCTGATAATGGATCAACAGCAACTGAAGTTGCCCTTAAGATGGCATTTCGCAAATTCTTGCATGATAATGAAGCAATTGTGGATATTTCTGACCAGAATGCTGAGAAATCCATAGAGTTTAGGGTGGGTTCTATTTCGTTTGTTTCATATCAACTTAAAGGTGTTTGGTTATTTTTTTTTTTTTTTGACAATAGCAAAGGGTGTTTGGTTATTGTTGATTGAAATTTGATTATGTTTATTCTGCTCTTCAATTACATCCAAGTGGAAGAGTTTAATGAAGAAAAAACTGAGGAGACACTGATGTGAAACTAAAGGGTGGCAGAAGATAATTTTTTAAACATGCCTTTGTATTTTTCAATAAACATCTGTGAGTTCTACTTATTGACTTATTGTATGTCTAGCTCAGTAAAAGTTGCAATCATCTGACTGTAATTTGTTTTAGCCATATTATGAAGCATGTTTATAAGAAGTTCCTGAATGGAGCTCATGATCATACATTTTTGTTTTATACTCCATAATAAAGAAGAAAGTGCTATACCATTATATTTATTTATTTATTTATTTCCCCTTTAGGTATATGTGTTCAACTCCAACATGAATATTTATGAATTATTTAAAGTTGTTGATAAATCATTTCTCAAAGTTTGACCTTTAGCTTTTCTTTCTTTCTTTTGTTTGGTGATTAAATCAGTGGTTATTTATTTTTGCTCTTTCCAATTAATGTGAAGCAGGTATTGGCTCTTAAAGGATCATATCATGGTGATACTCTGGGTGCAATGGAAGCACAGGCACCATCATCCTTCACAGGCTTTCTCCAGCAACCATGGTATGCTGAATGGAACTAAGAATTTAAGAGTACATCTAGTTGTATGTATTTTAATTTGGTTCTTTTCTGTGTTAATAATTGGTTTATATATATATATATAAAATTTCTGATTATTCCTGATTCCTTCTATATATTTGTGTTTGTGCTTTTCCTGCATTATAGTCCTGGTAAAAAACAATCTTTTGTTGCTTATATGTCCTCTTTTAAAAAGACGTTTCTGTCTTTTCAGCTTTCTTGTAACTTGTCACACGCTCACAGCCTCACAGTTTACAGGAAGTCAATAAAATTTCTCATGTCCCATTCTTTTAAGAGGGGCCAAGCAGTTCATTTATCAATTTGAAATTTTAATTTAATTATGGCATTGGATTATAAGGATGCTAGTATGTCTAGATACAATTTTCTTTCCCTTAAAATGTTTAGTTCTTTTTATGTCAAGCCTCTATACAGTCATACTCATCTTTGAAATTAGGACAAGGTCCTTTGTTTAGAAATTTCATTTTTGCCGACTTTGAATCTCAATACGTACCTGTACACCTGACACTTGTACTGGATTACAAGTTAAAACTTCTTGTGGTTAAAATATAGCTGTACTGCATCACAAGCATCTTGGGCAATGTTGTCTGAATTGCTAATGGAAATGGGTGATGATAATAGATATGCTGTATACTAACTACCGGGGATTGGGGTATGGCTCGAAATATCACATTCAGGTAAAATTGGGTCTTCTTATAGACGTATGGCTGTTGTAACAGGGTTCCAATGTGCGATTTGGGTAATATTGCTTAGGATATTGTATGCAGCCATTCTTTGTGAAAAAGCTGTTACTGCAACTCGAATATCCGGCTTCGCAAAGAATTGTCCAAAATTGTTGAAAGGGCGTAAGGTTTGGCCTGGCCACCTGGGTCTCCTTATATTCCGTCTTTCAATATTTTTCTGGATACTTAAGGTAACTTGAGCAGAACAGGATTTTCTAATATATGGGTAAGAGCCTAAAAGAGATCTCTAGGAAACCAAACTTCATCAAAAAAGGAAAACTAATTAAAATTGTTGAAGGGTGGTCTTGACCTGGTTCTTTCTATCTGCTATCTTAAATTTTGTCTTTCTGAGAATAGTACATTCGGCCACTGCTGGTAACTCTATGTCCATTTATAAATTAGTTAACCAAGCTATGTGCTCTTGCTATTAAACATTTATTAACATTTTGACTGTCATTATATTGGTATATTCCCCCCACCAAGGGACTGTGCTACAAGCCTGCAAATTGCCTACTCCTAACCAATCTGTTGTCTATAAAACATGAAAGTGTTAATTTGTTGGATGCTGAATGCCTTCAGGTCATGTTAGCCTCCCTGCTTCTTCGGTAACTGTATAGTTGCTTTTTTTATTAGTACAAGAAGCTTGTGGGGCCAAGGGAAACTAGGGCTCATTTAGAATTGCTAACAAACTGCATTAGAGCTTCCCCCAGTGCCAGCTCCCCAAAAGGGTTCCCTTCCCCTCCCCGCGCTCCTGCTCCAATGCCAGCTGTTATTTAGTAATGTAATTGATGTTTGGTTTCTTTAGGTACATAGGCAGAGGCCTTTTTGTGGATCCACCAACTTTGTACATGCAATGTGGAAAATGGAATATTCAGTTACCTGATGAACTTTCAGAAGGACATCAGCAGGAAGATTTGAGTAAGTTTAGGGCATTTCTGGTTTATTTTTACTTATTGCTTTATATTGGTATCTTACACACAACAATTTGTGCAGTCTTTGAATCACGGGATGAACTTTTCTCAAAGAACAGGGATACATCTGATGTTTCTAAAAGTTATGCATCTTATGTATCAAAGCAATTATCAGCATTCTCTAGAAGTGAACAGAACAAATGGATAGCAGCTCTAATAATTGAACCAGGCAAGATTATACTGGACTACATATGTTATTTCTAGTTGTTTATCTTTGCTGTATTTGGACTGTGCCTTCTTATTTTGTTTTTCCTTTAAGCTGCTGCTGTTTTTCTATAGGCTTGTTTGATGACATCTAGTTTGTTTAAGTTAGCTTGATTATATGACTTAATACACTTTAATTTGAACTGCCCTAGCCCCTAGGTGGTGCATTGGAGAAAAAAAGTATTTATACTATGTTTGGATAAATGGAAATCAAAAGTGAAGGGAAAGGGAAGGGAAGGAAAAAGAGGGAAGAGAAAGGGAGGTGAAGGGAGGGACAGAGTGACCTTCCATTTTCCTTCCAAATCTCTCCAACAATTGGAGGGATTTGTTTTATTATTAAATGGGGAAGGAAAATGGATCCCTCCATTTCCTTTCCCTTGCCTATGTCTGATCCAAATAAGGGAAATTGTATCCCTCACTTTCCCTTTCCTCCCTTTACCTTTAAACATTCCTATCCAAACATAGTGTAAATGGCCACTTTTTTAATTCAACAGATTTTTCGAATGATTGACACTTGATTGCTTGGTGCTAGTAAAGTTTAACTTGAATTCCTCTACTCTCTTTTATTGTGCCTAATTATGGCCACAGTGCTATTGTGCTGTTTTCTTTCTTCTGTGATGAAATAACATTAGAAACTTGAGTAAAAATGCCATGAGGGTTACTTCAAGAACTAAAAAGATTACTGGCAACACTTGTCACCGAAAGACACCATCAATATTTTGTCCTGTGCTTCTTTAAATCATTAAAGCTGCTGGTCACTTAATGCCATTTCAGTCAAGAAATAGCCTATATAATTGTATGGACATCTCTCACCTCTTACCTGCACTGTCTTGATTTTAGTTTGAGGCTAGAGTGGCATGAGTATTGTACCTGATGTCAAACACTTCAGGGTGGAATTGATGATGGGTAGTACATATTAAGTTAAAAATTGAAAATACCTTATCAATAATGCCTGTTTAAGTATTATAATTAAGCTGAGAATATACGGTGGAAGATTGGACAGCTATCACCTTGTGGCTTTGCATTTAGTTTAATTTCAAGGAGGGTAGGGTACTGGGGCTGCCCAAGATAAGCTGTCAGTTTATAAGCGTGATTGGTTTAGCGAGTAACTTCATTTGGTGGATAATTCATGGTCTTCATAACACTTTGACTCCAAAGAAATACTAAATATTTGAACCAGCACTTGAAATCAGGTAATAATTTCAAAATTATGACCCTTTGAAACTCTAGTACATCGAATTACTTTGGTGCATATTATGTTTATGCTCTGGAGACATAAGCAGTTGGAAGATTCTTTAAGCTCTAATTGTTGATAGCCTCTAAGATTATTAAGAAAGGGATCTTAAATAGTAATTCAGGCTGTATATAAGACTCCTGCTTCTAAATTTAGCTTGTGCTTCCTAGAAGAGAGTGTCAAAGGGATTCTTACTTTCTAAATGGATTTGTTGATGTCTTTACATAAAATCTGTTATATTGTATAGATCTTTCTGTTCCAATATTTTGCGCACCTCATTCGATAAAGAAGCATAAGTGCATTTGATGATACTTGTCTTCAAGGATTTTATTGGTCTTGTTATGGTTAATCTGATCTTACTCATCCTCAAGCTTCATACTGCTTTTGCCGTGCTAAATGAATATTAATGATGAGCCAACTCTTTTGCAGTTATACATGGTGCTGGAGGTATGTATATGATTGATCCACTTTTTCAACGCATCCTTGTTAGAGAGTGTCAAAGGCGGAAAATTCCAGTCATTTTTGATGAAGTTTTCACAGGGTTTTGGCGCTTGGGAGTAGAGGTTGGCTGGCACTTTATTGCTGCTATTCATCCCCTCATTTCTTTTTAATATTATCTGAAATATGTTTGACCTGAATTATTTGTGTAGTCTGCAGCAGAGCTACTTCATTGTACACCTGATATAGCCTGCTATGCCAAGTTGCTGACTGGTGGTATTATACCTTTAGCAGTTACATTAGCAACTGAAGCTGTTTTCGATACCTTCATGAGCGACTCAAAAGTAAGTTGGCTTAAATTTCTGCATTTGAGTATTCTGTTAATGTTATACTTTTTTGTTGGACAAAATATTTTAATTTGTATGAAAAGGAAATGCTGAAGTTCAAAAATGATTAAACCTGTTATTGATTATATCATGAGATTGTAGTAACTGTAAAGCTTTTGTAGAGTTCGCCTAATGCGACATTACAATAACAAAAATAAAATATAACAAAAGTTTACTTTCCCTCCAATTTTTGATAAAAATTACTGGCTGGGTACTGGGTATGTCCACAATGATAGAATATAATTTCCCTATTATTCCCTTGCTGCCAACTTTCTCCTTTGTTTTCTCTGCTAATATCTCCTTTGCTTAATTGTCAATATTTAGGGCACACTTTTTAAGTTAATCTAAAATTTGGCCAAACTTAAAATCAAAATTTTAAGATTTATTGTCCTAATATATATATCTGAGCCATGTAAATCTTACTAGTTTCTTTTCTATTTCCTTTTTGTGGGTGAATTTTGAACCATGATTTTCTGTTTTGATAAATAAATGCTCGCATGTCTTTTTTCAGCTGAAAGCACTTTTGCATGGTCATTCTTATTCTGCGCATGCTATGGGATGTACAGCTGCTGCTAAATCTATTAAGAATTACAAAGATGAAAAGAAAAACCCGAACTTGACACCTGATGGAAGAGCACTCAAAGAGGTGAGCAACTTTTATTGGATTGAAGGAGTAACTTTGCAAATTTAAGTTTTGTGTTTGTCTGTTCAATTTTGTGGATTTAAAATTTTCCCCATGTGAGGCAACCTTGTAAATTAATATTATTCAATCATTCATAGTAATATACTAAAAGTATTGTATCAAACTTACTTTGTTTCCTACAAAGGTTAACATCGTCAGTGCCTTAGAGCAAGTTTAGCCCCAAGTCTTAAGACTTGAATATGACATCATTTTTGGTGGTCTCCATTGAAAATGATGTCATCAAATTCTTGTTAAGACTCACTAAGACCTGCACAAATTTATCACTTTAGCCCTAAGACTTAAATATTTGATATAAAAATGAAGTGGGTCCCAATCTCAAGTCTTAAGTTGAGTCTTGCTTGAGATTTTTGAAAAAAAATGGGAAAAGTCTTAAGTATAAATCTTAAGACTCAAAATGATGATGTCACCCCAAGTCTTAAGACTTGGGGCTAAACTTGCTCTTAGATAAACACTTTGCAAATCCTGAAAAAGGTATCAACTTTGCTTAACAAAATAGTACAATTTGAATTTCCTTCAAAAAAAAAAAAAAGTACAATTTGAATTTCTTTGTTTTAACTTATTTAGCTCTTCAAATCAATTACGTAATATATTCGTATATAATACAGATTGGTATACTTAACTCGAGCCAGTATTGTTTTGTTTTCTTATGTGTTTTACATGGAAATATGCTTGTCAGATATGGGATGCAGAACTTGTTAACAAGATTTCAATGCATCCACAAATCAAAAGATTGATGGTGCTGGGAACAGTTTTTGCAGTGGAGCTCCAAACTAATGGTTCTAATGCTGGGTAATATCATCCAGCTATTTCATTTGATTCTTTTCGTTGTAGTTCAAAAACTTTTCATCCTCAAGTATCTATAATAAGATCAAAACATTTTTGCTTTATAGGTATGCATCGACTATAGCTACATCTATTCTTCAAAAGCTTCGTGAAGATGGCATATACGCGAGGCCATTGGGGAATGTTATTTATCTAATGTGTGGACCTTACTCTTCTCCTACTACCTGTAGTCAATTGCTTGTGAAATTATACCATAGAATTGATGAGTTTCACAAGAGTAACTCGTCTTCAGGTTTATAAGCTTTCTAATTAATGTTGCATCATTTAGTTGAAAACTTTTGCCAGAGTTATTTTGTAAGAGATTGTTTCACATCAACTATTTAATGTTCAATTACTATCAATTTTACAGTATTATTAATCTTGGTCTATGTCCAACTTTTGTTTGGCAATTATTTTTTTTGTTTGGCATTAGGTAAAGAGAAATTTTTCAAAGGATAGAATTTGTGCGAGGTCTCTAAATGTTCAACTTTTTCTAAGCTTTTTTCTAATAAATAAGCTAAGATAATTCAAAATTAGTTTAATTTGGACAAAATAAATTCAAATATATGAAGATAATTTCACTAACAATTTCAGAAAAATAAGCACAAACAAGTTAAAATAATTTCATCATGTTCATGTATGTTAATGCAATAATGCCAAATAATTTGAATCAAACAAAGTGCAAGCAATTGTTTTAGCTTTAATGTATATAATATGAAGAATTGTCATATATAGTTCATTCATTATACATTTATGTATCGTATATAGTTGAAGTATTAAAATGTCGTTCTTTATATATCTCGACAATCCATGAAGATTACTATTTTTGATAATTTTCTTTAGTCCAGATAAATGATTCCTGTAGTTTTGATGAGTTGTAAAGTTAATACTAGTACACAACTTATTACTCATAAATTCTAATAGTGTTGTCCTCATTATGAAGCTTTAACTCTTTCAAAAACTTTAAAAGAGGCTTGATTTCTTGATATCAAATATATATGTACGAGTATCAAAGATGATAATTTTACGTCGTCAACACTATCTAGAAAAAAATTGAAGATTTTGTGAGTATCATCATCATTGATGATTCTAAAAATTATTTCTCATCTCACTTTCCAACTCTATAGCACTCAATGATCGAGCGGCAATTATCACATCCAATGTAATTCGACTACATTTTTTCTTTTTATAAATCATAACATCAAAAATTTATTTCTAAAGATATTTCAAAAAAAAAAAATTCGAGATTAACTTTTTTAATCCCCTTATGATGACGGCAAAACATCAAATTTTTTTCTAACAGATTTCAAAAGCATAGATAGTTAGTGTCCTTAGTGACCTTAATGTTGTATGTGGTTCAAATTTCCTAATCATATTGTCGTAGGTTTTTAGTTATTATTAGACTAAGGCTTACCTAATTCAATCCAAAAGAGGGAAAAAAGATGACAAGATCGTTAAATATCAACGGCAAAGATTCAACGACAATACTCTCCAGTGACCAATAAAGAAAAAGCAGATATTTATTTATTTATTGAATTATTGTCATTTATTTTATTTTTCTATGATCAGATATTAGTATTATACTCAGCTCAATTTGTACTGTTACAAGCATTCAGCAGCCCCCCAAAAAAAAAAATCTAAAAAAAAAAAGAACTGATTCAGCTCACCTCAACAGTCAAAGTCATCTCTAAACAAAATCCATTAACTCTATTTTCTCTCTCTTTCTCTTTCTCTCTCCTCCTTATTTTTGGTGTGCTTCAGCAGCACAATAATTAGTGTTTGTCTCTTTAATCTCACCTGTTGGCTACTTCTGAAGTAATCAATTTTCTGGTAAATTTTAATTTTTTAATTTGATTATTAAAAGTTTATGAATTTCTTGTGTTTGGGTACTTTTTGTTAGGAATTTGGTGGGTTTTTGCATCTGGGTAATTTTTTCAAGGTGAAATGTGAATTGGGTAGGTTTTTATTGTGATTTTGGTGTCTTCTTGCATATGGGTTTGTGATTTTGAGTGAGAAATTGATATGGGTTATTGTTAATTTAAGCAAAAATTGAACTGAAATTTGTGTCTGATTTGGTGGTACAGATCTGTGAATCTAAGGTGCTGTGACAAATTGGTTGGGTCAAATGCAGAGACAGACGAGGTCTATGGAGAGATCCAATAGTATGAGGGGAAAGCGGAGTTTGGAGAGTAGCGGCGGCGGCGGTGCTGGTGGCGGTGATGATGATCAACCGGAGCGAAAGCGGCCGGCTTTAGCTAGGTCTGTATTTGAGCATATATGGTTGATGATTTTCTGTTCTGATGTTATAATGGATTAATATTTAATGTTTGCAATTGAAGGGTGGGGTGTGGTAATTGCCTGTTTGAAGGGGGTGGTTGAGCATCTGATTTTGGTATGAATCAGTAATTTTACTTTTGTGCTTAAAAAGTTTGTATTTTGGACAAAGTTGGTTGTTGTTTTTGCTTCATAAGAAGTATTGTGTTGGTTATTGATGATGGGAAGTTTAAGTAGAAAGAGGATGTAAATGTGGGGAGTTGTTCAATATTTGTTTGATGTGAGATATTTATAGAAGTATAAAGTTCTTTGGAATAAAGTGGTGTGTTTGGATTATCTGTTTCCTATGTATACACAGAAGGTTCTTGGGAAGCTCCCTTTCTCATAATTTGTATGGCTTCTGATGGAAGTTGTGTTTAAAACTATTTATATCCAGTTAGTACGAAATATCATTCGACATGCTAGAGAATTGATTGTAGGCTCGTGGAGCTGTATAAAGTATACATTAGGGCTTTCTTACATTAAGTAAAAAAGTAATCTTAAGTGGATACATGAATTGTATTTGGAACGTTATTTGTTACGAGTTTTATGACTGTACCCTGGTTGCCGAAACCTGAAGATATGTTCCCAGTTTGCATAAGCTCGTGCACAGATTTACGCTCATTAATCCCCGGGGCTTTCATTTCGACATAATCAAAGCATTACCAATTGTGCCCCCTCTTTCTATTTCTACCCGTCTAAAGCGGGGAGGAAGGAAAAGTGTTATAAGCTTTGAATGGATGCCCCAGTAAATGGCGATATAAAATTTTCTTACTGTTAGCAGAATGTAAGCTAATATCTCCCTACTAGAACTCTAGAAGTCTACTTGTGTTATAAACTTTAAAAAGCAAAGCCAAAGTTTCTCTTCGGTATTAAAAAAGAATCCATTAGATGTATTAGAGTGTATGCTATATTGTTTTTGTGTAATCAAAATTGGTATGTCATAAGGCCAATTTGACCATTGAATTCTTTCTTTTCTTTTGAGTTTGATTGTAAACTTGCTGATTTGTCACTTCCCTCAATTTTTGGTCTTTGAAAATTGTAAGCATTTAAATAATCTCTCAGGAGTTTATGTTGAAGGCACTAGTTGAGCATTATCCCCCCCCCCCCCCTGCTTTTTATAAAATTGTACATGACTTTTAGATGAATGGAGGAGGTATGTTGTGAACTCTGTGGTGATCTAGAGAAGAGGAATGAGTCTCTGAAGCTATATATTTATAAAAAAATTTGGACGAGACACTTACATGTCTAATTATGTTCTTAGCATTCAGTTCGACAATAACTCATTATGAACTCACAATAAATGTGAATTTTACTGATCTAATTATACCAAATTTATAAATTGTATATCTGACTAATATTCAGCTACTGCAACCGCTTTCTCAAATTAAATTCTTCTTCAAATGTTTGAGTCATCTTGTGGTGGTGGAATCATTTTCTGAATTTTGATTATTGTCTCAAATTTGGCTTGGGTCCACTTCTTGAATCGTATGCATTTCTTGCAGTGTGATTGTTGAAGCTTTGAAGGTGGACAGCTTGCAGAGACTTTGCTCGTCATTGGAACCTATACTTCGTAGAGTTGTAAGATAAATGACTTCTCAGCTGACATTTATGTTCATCAACTTTGACTTTAAACTTATCCTTTTCAACTTGGGTGGTGGGTTACCTCTTTTCTCAATGTTTTGGTCATGAGTTTCCTTTTGATGAAAATTTGATAAACGTCTCAGGTTATATAGTTAGGGGAGTTCTACGTGGATATTTTGGATGATGTTGATTATTGCAGTTAGTCACTTGCTCCTCTCACACACGCACTGACACACGTCTTTCAGACCATTAAGTAGCATGCTTAAATTTGTTTTTTTTTTTTTTTTTTTTTCAAATGCTGATCATTGATACTTGTTTTGGGATTAAAAAAAATAAAAAAGGACAAATTCTGTGCTTACTCCTGGCCCATAAAATATGGAAGAAAGGTTTAATCCTTCAATGTTTGTCTTTGAGGTTCTTGTTTGCATTATTTTTTTCTATCAGATTTCCTTTAGCTCTTACAAGATACTCTTTCTCATTAGCTGAGTGGCTTCTCATATTTGGATTAATCAGGTCAGTGAAGAAGTTGAGCGTGCCCTGGCTAGGATAGCTCCTGCCAAAATCTCTGGGAGGTAAGCCATATATGATATTATTAATATTTTGTTGAATGAGAATCTTCATTTTGAACTGTTTCATGTTCACAGTTTTAATCTGTCTTATTCATCTGACAAAGATTCAAGTAGTCGTAATCTGACTAAAATTCAGTTCTTACATCTAAGAGAAGCTTTGCAACATCATATTCAAGAGTTTTGCTATCTTGAGCTTGCTTATAACACCTACTAACTTTATCTTGGATAGTTGGATGAAGCTTGTGCATGTTTTTTTTTTTTTTTTTCTCCTTTTCTGTAATAAATTTTTGCACGAAAAAGGATATGTAATATGACACTAAGTTAATGCTTCCTTTAAATATGGAGTAAGTTTTTTTCTTGTACTCAATGTAGTGCGTCGCCAAAGCGAATTGGAGGGTCAGATGGCAGGAACTTGCAGCTGCATTTCCGATCCAAACTATCACTTCCTCTGTTCACAGGAGGCAAAGTTGAAGGAGAGCAGGGTGCTGCAATCCATGTTGTATTAATTGATGCCAACACAGGTCATGTGGTGACCTCTGGGCCTGAATCATCCACAAAGCTTGAAGTAGTTGTGCTTGAAGGTGATTTTAACAATGAAGATGATGAAGATTGGTCACAAGAAGAGTTTGAAAGCCATGTTGTAAAGGAACGTGATGGAAAGAGACCACTTTTACATGGGGAGTTGCATGTCAATCTCAAAGAAGGTGTAGGAACACTTGGAGAACTTACATTCACAGATAATTCAAGCTGGATAAGGAGCAGGAAGTTCAGGCTGGGCCTCAAGGTGTCCACTGGACATTGTGAGGGAATGCGTATACGTGAGGCAAAAACAGAAGCCTTTACTGTCAAGGATCACAGAGGGGAATGTAAGTGCATTGGTTGTGAATTCCTTTTGGTTGCTTTTGACTATTGCTGATTGATTCTTACAATTTACTCTCTCCTTTTTCTTTGGGTCCAGTATATAAGAAGCACTATCCTCCGGCCCTTAATGATGAAGTTTGGAGATTGGAGAAGATTGGGAAAGATGGATCTTTCCACAAGAGGCTGAATTCTGCTGGGATTTATTCTGTGGAGGATTTTCTCCGCCTTGCAGTCAGAGATTCTCAAAAATTAAGAACTGTTAGTGCATCCTTGTGATATTTCTTGCTATTTGTTATTTTCCCATTCGTTCATCTTCCATGTTATTGAACTAGTGAATCTTCAAGCTTGACCTGAACTGGACCTTGTTTGAATTTCTTAGTGAGCGAAGTCTATTTGACCTAACCTTGAGTATGACTAGACTTTTTATCAACTGGGATTGTTAGTCCCGAGTCTTCTTTATATTGTTGCTAATATATTACTGATACATCGTTGTTCTTCTTGTAGACCCTTGGAAGTGGCATGTCTAATAGGATGTGGGATGCTCTAATGGAGCATGCAAAGACTTGTGTTCTGAGCGGAAAGTTGTATGTTTATTATTCTGATGATGCAAGAAATGTCGGTGTGGCATTCAATAATATATATGAGCTGAGTGGTCTAATTGCTGGAGACCAATTTTGTTCTGCTGATACTCTCTCAGACAGTCAAAAGGTTAGTCATGCTGCTTTCAGTTTTGTTCTTGTTTTTGGTGGAGATACTAAGTTCCTTTTGTTCTTCGTGTCATGAAATAACCTCAGCTTCATGTATTTCTTGAAAAATGATCTAAATTGTCATGCCTGACTTGTGGACTGCTGTTTTCTTTCTGCTGCTTTGTCCTAACCACATTTGTCCATACCTAACAATTCATTTACCTGCTTTAAATCAAAAGTGAGAGGATGTGGGCTTGTGTGGTAGAAATCCTGCTCCCAAAACCTTGAGGATGAGGATTTCAACCTCAAGTAGGGGTTGAAAAGTGATTTGTAATGTGGGCCCTTAGGCTACCTCCTCCATGGGCTCTGTAACTTTTGCTTGAGACTCGCTTAGGGGCTACTCTTTGTCTTGTATTCTGCTGTGAACTGTGATCGCTTAAACCAAAGGAAAAAAAACAAGCATAAAAAGAATTGAATTTCATTCTTAGACTTTTGATTTATAGTATTGATGTGCTGTGAATTTGTGCCCCTTTTTTTCGGTATAAAGTTGTCTATTGTTGTTCCTTAGTAAGAATAGGTTGTAATTTTGTAGGATGATTTACCTACGATCCCCCCTACCCCTTAACTGACCTTGGCCTAAGGGAAAACCTTTGAAATTTAATTGTGATCACTTTGGATGTAATTCGTAAATATGACTTTTGATACCTTTTCAGGTATATGTTGATGCCCTAGTGAAGAAAGCATATGACAATTGGCATCAAGTCATAGAGTACGATGGAAAGGCACTTTTGAATTCCAAACAAACTAGGAGGACTCGCTCATCTCAAAATGAACTATCGATGAATACAATCAGTTATTCAAATCCTGTCGATAGTCAGTTGGCTTTACCTCGGTTGCCTGTTGCTATTTCTTCTGAGCAGGCAATGTTGGAGAATAATGTAGTGGCTCCAGGTAAGCTTTCAGTTAGATTAACTAGTGGAATCTAAACTAAGATTGCAAAGACAAAAAATTAGGTTATGTCGGTTGCTTGTTGGATTTATCTTTTAGGCTATGGTGCCTATCACTGTTGCTTTGTTTACCTTAAAAAAGAAAAAGAAAAAAATAATCTCTAAGTTCCACTCTAAAATGCAGGATGGTATTTTATCTTTTTTTTTTAAAAAAAAAAATTTAAATGGTGATTATTGGGCCCAAAGGACCTGTACTTTTGAAACTAGGGATAGCTTAAGAGGAAACTTGGCTCAGAGATCTTTAGTCTTTTCCTGCCCTTCCAATCCACTCTTATTGTACCTACAAAACTCCCTGATTTGTGAACACATGCTTGATAAAAATGCATCCTGGTGAGAAAATAGGCCAAAGATGTCGTCGCTTGCCTTTTTTCAACAAAGTAAATACCAAACTAGCAAGAGTTTTTCTTTTTGGCCACCAAATAAGGCTTTTGTTGTTTAAGTGAATTAACTCATATAGCAGTAATAGCACTGTAGGAACAAGTGGAGTAACTAGTAAAATATGTCCCCGTATCTTTGCCTTAATCTCTTGCTTGGCTTTGTTTTCAAAAAAAAAAAAAAAAATCTCTTGCTTGGCTTTGGACATCACTTTGGCTGATATACTGTTATTTGGAGGATGGATTGGCAACATTTGTGGCTGGTGGCCAAGGCTGAGGCTGCCACTATCCTAAATACACACAGATATGGTAGAGGCTGACAACTCATAAACCCTCTTTCTACCCCTGCCTCCTTTTCCCCACAACAACAACAAAGCCTTAGTCCATAAATGATTCGGGGGCTTCCTTTTCCCCAATAGTAGAAAAAAATCGGGACACTAAATTAAAGAAAACTATTCATAAGCTCATATCCATGAATGGCCTTCCAAAGAAAAATAGAGAAAAGAATATTCTATTGCAAGGTTTTTAAAAAAACCCAATCAATTCATTGTTTTGCACTTTGGGTTCTTAAAGGGAAGAGAGAGAGAGAGAGGGGGGGGGGGGTGTATTTAAAAAGGGGTTAGGTTGTTTTTTTTTTTTGGACATGATTTCGTTGTTTCTTCATTTTCATACAGATTATGTGATTGTTTATCCATTTTTCGTCATATGGCCTTAACAATCTAATACTTATTGGAATTCTGTGTGTGATTGCAGGTTATAATGATAATATGGTAAACAGATTTCAGAATCAATCACAGCTGATAAATTCAAATTTACATAATCAGTTCGAGAACACCTCATTCTCTCAGCATGATCTGATCGGTGGCATTTCAGAACAAACCCATATTACTGGGAATGATAGCAGGGCAGGATTGGCCTTGGGTCCTCCCCGACCTTCTGCATCTGAATTTCAGGTCGTACAACCATCTCAACCGTCCAATATCAATCCATATGATGATTGGTCACAAAACCAAATTTCAGAGGATGACATTCGTAACAGAAGTCACGAATTACTTGAGAGCGATGATATGCAACAGCTGCTGAGACTGTTCAGCATGGGAGGCCATGTAAATATGCCTGATGAAGCCTTTTCATCTTACCCATCTTTCATGCCTACACCATCTACCTACAATAGTTTTGAGGAGGATCGTAGTCGTTCAGGCAAAGCTGTTGTTGGTTGGTTGAAGATCAAGGCGGCTATGAGGTGGGGCTTCTTTATCCGGAAGAAAGCAGCTGAGAGGCGTGCACAGCTTGTGGAGTTGGATGACTGAGCTCCTGATTAAGTGTGTTTGTCGGCTAAATTTGCAACAGAAAAGGTACCATCAACTAGTTCCCTTGGTGCATATTCTGCTAGGAATAATAGTATATAGCATTTACCGCAAGTAGCTGTCAAATCTGGCCTGACTTCGCTGTTTATTATTGAGATCTAGCAGACATAGATATGTCTTTTGTACAGTTTCCTCCTGTACAGTGATTTGTAATTCTTGTAACCTTGTATTTTAACTTGAACCTCCTTCGTCGTAACTTTTGTCTGTCGCGAGTTTGGGATTTTATAGGTAATGCATGGTGCTGTTTCCATCCATGATGTACTTGTACTATAGGGAGAAATTCTAATGAAAGACTAATTCTCTATGTAGTCTTGTATTTTCTAAGAAAATTTGTGTTTTCAACTTTGGCAGAATTATAGTAAGAGTGTATGTAATCAACCTGAACTATGGTACAGCATTAAGAAGTTATCGTATTTGAAATGAATTTGGCCTTACAACGAGGCAACTTATTAGGTGTACATTGCCATGGCTATATGGAAAGATGTGTCAATATCAGAATATTTTCACCAAGCTAAGCTTGGTTTAAGAGAAAGACTATACCTTATAACCTTGACGTTGGGGGTTTGATTTCCTCTTAGAGACACATTGAGGGTGAGGATCTCTTACCTTCTCCCCTTCACTTTCAAAGTGTCCAACCTGTAAATAGTGGACCAAAAAAACCGTGAGAGTTGAAGTCTGGTGAAAAAAAATCGGAACTTGTTAGAGATGACGTATCAAAAGTGGAATTGTTACGTTCGAGTTGGTTCCTTATCTTGTAAAAAAAAATCGAAATTAATTAGAGATGATGCATATAAAGTGTAACTGTTACGTTCTAGTTGATTCCTTATGCAAACTATCTTTAAAAAGTCATGATACATTTACAAAATTATTAACAACACACTTCAAATTTTACACTATACAATAGAATTTTCCTATATTTAATACAAGTATATTTAAAGTTTAAACTTTTTAAGGAAAGTAAAAAGTAAGGAAACTTTGCACATACGTAAAGAATTTAATACAACCAAAAAATAATTAATAACCAAATAGAAGTTTTGCTACTTTACTAAGAAATATATATCTTAAAGGCCCCATGTATTATGAACTATGACAGCTAAATTTCCGTAGCATTTACGTACTCTTGCTGATTCGCTTGGCCTGACAAAATCTATGCTAATGGTATATATGCATGAGATAAGATCAAGGCTTGAATTAAGTTTCAGTAAGCTAAGGCATAATTAGAGACGCTCATCAAATTTATCTTTTTTTGTCGACTTAGTTAGAAGGTCGATTATACCATGCACCTAGGAGTACAGAGAATGGCAAGACGTGTTGTCATGCACATAGGAGCACGAAGAATAAAATAACACATCATCATGTTGTGTGCTTAAGTATATATATTTGTTACATGGGGGAACTCCCCATATAGCCCTATTACGGAGCTCCTACAATCGGTCCAAGTTAATAATATTTGAAGTTTCCTAAGTTATGAGAACATATCATATCAAATATGTTTAATGTAGCACTAGTTGATGTGATTTAGAGTTAAGAATTTGGTTTTTAAGTCTGGTATTGATAGCATTACTATGATGGAGAAATGTGATGTTATCTCTATTAATGCGATTTATCTTGTTAAATCAAATTTATTTGTCAGTATGTATAATGCCTTTAATTTATTTGAATAAGATAAGTGAATTGAATTATTTTTCATCTTTAATTTCCTAGTCATTAATCTTTTTCATTTGGATTTTTCTTTCCATGTTTCCTCATTTTTGGTGCACTCATCTTTACACTATTTAACTAAATTTGCTAGGTACAAGTAGTTGCTAAACTTTTTGGTGTAAAATTTAGAATTTGGATCTCAAGTTTCGTATGGTAATAAAAATCTCATGCATCCTCCATTTATTCATGTGAAATAGTGTCAGTAATTGAACATTAAAATAAAAATCTAGAGGTTGTGGTTCGAATCTTGTCAAGTAAGAGTGTTTGGGGATAAGGATTCCCTTACCACCCCTCTTACTCCTAAGTGTTTAGCTTAAAAAATACTAGATTAAATAAACTGTGAGGGTTGAGATTTAATCATAGTCATCCTCTTAAAAAAAAAAAAATCGCTTCGCTTTCGTCAAACTAGCTGGAGGGTCCAGCTGGCCAAGTGGATGCAAATAAGTCCTGCCGTCCTGGTTTGGAGTTACGGGGTGATTTTTGATAGTATCTGTTATATTGGGCTGCATTATTTGAACCAAAAAGAGGTATACAAATAGTAATATAGTATAAAGTCAAAGTTAAACTTGTTTAAGAAATTGGAGAACGTATTGATCAGGGTAGATAATAAATGTAATTGTAGCATAAAACATTAATATCGATTAAGGGTGTAATAATTTGAGATAGTAAGATGGAAGTGAGTGAAGAGTGAAGATCATGAATAATTTGCTAGAGCGAGCATATTTCTTATTCATGTTAGTCATTTAACCTTACAAGGTCATCACATCCTTAACCAAGGTCTCGGGATCGAGCCTTGGCTATGGAAAAAACCCCAGTTGGGAGGGATGCTGCCCTTTAAGGTACCCCTGCAAACTCCCGCAGGAGATTAGTCCACACGCCAAAGGCGGTGGGAACTCCCCATAATAGTACCAAAAATAAATAAAACAAGGTCATCACATTCGATCATATCATGGGTCAAAGTAGAAATCGGATTAGAGGTCATAAACTAACTTATGATCTACGTATAAATGTATAATGCCCAATTGACCATTGATATAGATTAATAAATCAATTATATATATGGAGCTTTTTATTAAATAGGTTCCTTAATATGTATCAAGAGCCTTTTATAAATGGAGCTCTAATCCTCATCTAAACTTTTTATTAAATAGGTTCCCTATAATATGTATCAAGAGTCCTATATGAAGTATATGTAAAGGGACATAATAGAGTATAAAACCAATGCTGAATGACTCTAATCATCGGCTCAAAAGAACATTTGGTTGAGTTACAAGCTTGCTTATAACCTCAATAGGATTTTACTCTAGATCGACATTAATGTTTCAAACGAACGTTTAATACTCGATTATAGTTTTCGCTATACATATTAATTTTTACAAAGAAAAAAAAAAGAATATAAATAACAAATTAATAACTTGCTTAAAACAAGTATGGTCATGGAGCAATCAATTAGCCAAACAGACTCGAAGAAGATAAGGTGTTATCATGAAAGTGATAGTTGATTATCTTCCAAAAATTATGCTGACCATAGTTTCTAGTCTACACGTTAACTAAGGTTAAGTTGCACCACTCTTTTTACATTCTGTTCTTTAAGAAAAGCCAAATAAAGCCAATTATAATACTTAGGAACAACGAAATGGGTGATGCAATGATTAAGCTTCATATTCGGAGGGAATGCGATTGTACATTTGTACATAGTTATATTGAGAGAAAAGAACTATTATGTTTACAATTTTTTAGAGGTACACCTATCTCTTGGTATACCTAGTTGCATAATAGAATTTCTCGGGAATATGTGGTGTTCCCTTACACAGACAAAACACAAATGAATGAATAAAAGATCAAGAGAGTTTGACAGATTCACCACACAGCTGCTTCAGCTCGACCTCTAAAATTCCCAGCAAATTTGCTTTATTTCGACGATAAACCCAGGCTTCAGAGCTGGGATCCCAGTCAAATCTTGAAGGACCACTGAAACATTATATTAAAAAGGTCCGTTCAGATTAAAAAGCTTGGGTGTTTTAAGAAGATAGAACGAACAGTAGGAAGAAAAAGGAAATTAATGCACATAACTATGAGTGAATGCTAGACTCTGAATAAAACAAATTATCTAAGCTAATTTCACCCAAAAAAAATCCTACTCCGTACTTTGTATCTGATAGTTTGTAAACCTCCAGTGAGGATATTGTGGGAAATCCAATCATGTTCTATTAGCATTTTTGGGAATGGGGCAACATTTTGGGACATTACAGCATGGGTTTTTGTGAATTTTATATCATGCAGTGGGAGTGACATTATTACCAGTAATAACACATGATGCAGCAAGAACAGGACTGATAAGAGAAAATATCATCATCCTCCCGCAGCACAAACAAATGCAGAGAATATTGTTATATTGGGAACTGTGGGGAACTGCTATCCCATGGCACACTGATGCTCAGTGTGAAGTATAACATCTATGGACATGAGCATCACTCATCAAACTTCAAAATAAACATACATAAATATGAAGATATGTGAGTCATGTACAATATGTCAACTATAAGCCACTTTATAATACCAGCACAATAGTTTATGTCAGCCAATAATTATACCAGTCTAATATGAAGTACTAATTAAGATAGTTGTATTCATGATATGCAAGTAGCTGTTATCATGCCTAGTACTCCGTAATACTAAAGAGGGAATAAATATAAGCAAGATTGCAAGAATACTATGTTCTTAATTACCTTACTGGAGAAGACAACCAGATCTGTCTGTTTGGCGTCTGTTTATTCACCACGTAAGTGCCCAGATCCCCAAGTTTCATGGTGAGAACTTCATTCTGCAATTAAAATTCTTTTTAATTTAACACTCTGTGTGGGAGATGTATGCATGCCGGTGTGCAAAATAATATAGGAGCAAAACAATTCTTACCCCATAATCTACGTCAAACCCATCAATATCAACAGTATCACCATATTCCTGCCAAGCATGAAAGCCATGTCAATAGACAAATATACCTACAATCTAAAAACCAATTATTGAAAACCCAGTGCATTGCTCATATCTATACCATACATCCATATAGAATTGTAGAATAATCATACTCATACGATAAAGCATCTTGAGCACTGCATACTAAAAAAAGTTATTATTTGTAATTTTTACCCCTGTTGCTCATCTTACTCTAGACAATAATAAAGCAATGATGTCAACAAAATAAAGACTGCACCTCAGTCCCTCACATTCTACTCCCTTTTCAACCTACACTCCCACTTGTCATACAACAATTGCAATGCACTTAATATCTTAAAAGACAATTGGCATAGCAGGAAGACATCAGCTAATACCAATTGACATATAATTACCTCGAGTTTCTCGAGCAGATGATGTATGGTGGAATCTGCTAGCCGATGAAACTCGTCTTCCTGAAGCACAGAACTGCTTTTGCATCAATTATTATCACAATCGCATCGATATATACTGGTACCACAAACACCATCAGTGACTAGCAATAAGGAATTTGTATTGTTCTTGAGCTGCTTTTTCATCAAATTGAACAAATATTCTTCGACCAAAAAAAAAAAAAAAAAAAAAAAAGGTGTATAATCACAAACAAAAACAAACCATCAAACAGCAGCACAGCAATTATACAAACAAAAAGATGTATACTTTCAATTCTAACAATAAAAAGGGTTTCAAATTCAAACCAAACCAAATCAAAATTCTAAATCAGCAACTTCCTTTACCACTTTAAATCCAAAAACAATCCCCAATTCAATTCTCCACAGTTCCAAACTAATTAACTAAATTTGGCCTCAAAAAACCCCTATCTAATTAACTAAATTGGTCCTAAAAACCCCTAAATTCTAAAAAGTACAACATACTGAGAAAAAAAATGAGAGTGAGTACCTATAATCGATGGGAGCAGGAACTTGAGATTCATCGACAACATTGGTAGAAAAAGTTCTAGAATAGGAAAGAAAAGCAGTGTAGAAAGAACGCGGTAAAGAGGAAGAAGAAGATGAAAGTGATGGTTCCAGAAGATTCCAGACAGTTCTAGGAGCCTTGGCAGCGGGAGCAGCTTCTTTGACATAGTAACGAGCAGGAATCACATTGTCCTTGGGTAAAACAGTCTGAATAGTATACATCTGTAGAAATCACAACAACATATGATAAGTTAACAGAAATACTAGGAAATCAGGGATTCTTATTGGAAAGCCAGCAATACTACAAACAAACTACAAGATTCAAAGCACAAAAGCCCTGCTCAAGCTAATACTCGACAAGTAAAACATAGCCCCAAAACGCAGCCAAACAAAGTATAAATCCCAGACCGAGCAAGGAAATATGTCTACAGCTCCCATACCCCAAAATCATAGCCCTGTTACTCGACAAGTAAATCATAGCCCTAAAATGCAGTCAAACAAACATATAAATCCCAGACCAAGCAAGGAAATATGTCTACAACTCCCATACCCCAAAATCATAGCCCTGCTCAAGCTAATACTCGACAAGTAAATCATAGCCCTGTTCAAAATAGTACTCGATAAGTAAATCATAGCCCCGAAATGCAGCCAAACAAACGTATAAATCCCAGAACCAGCAATTAGAAAAACATCGCTGCAATTATAACTAACAAATGTTTTTATAGCATTGTTTTCAAGTTCCGTCTCAAACATATTACCAATGCATTAACACATTAAAATATTCAATAATGAACAGCTCCAACAAAATCAAAATCATATACATTACGGAAAATCAAAATGCGACAACACATTGCCACTAATCCAATTTCTTTACTAATTCAAAACCAAAACCCTGACAACATCTCATTCTACCAATTGTTTCATAAAAAAGGCCAGAATTTGTTCAATTACACCCCATTTCTCGGAAATACAAATTTAAAATGTAAAGTTCGAATTCATGCTAAAGCCTAAATCGAAACAACATATATATGAGTCAACGATCATGAACAAATCTCAAGGAACACATTAGAATTGCAGATAAAAAAGTAGCATATAAGTCGAAGATTTTGGAAAATAGACCTGCTTAGATTTGGAGAGGATGCGAGAAGCGAGCGCCATTATCGAGTATGAAAAATCATCAAAGCGGTATACTCGGACGAAACCTCAAGGGCAACTAATCTATCTACGTTGATTCGGATTCGGGATTAATTACGGGTGGTTAGATTCCACATCCCTTCCAATTATTATTGCAGGGATCGAACCCTATCAAGTGCAGACTCAATTACCACTGCACCAGCAATCAATTGGTACAATTCATGCGTATTTGATTAGTTGTATTGTTGTAAACACAAATCACTAATGGTCTCCCAAAACAAAAATCAAATCAAATCAAAATAAGTCTAATTAAGTTCAGAGGAAGTTCAAGTTTATCCCCTCGATAAACTTTAAGTGTTTATCCGGGGGTATATGCGTCATTTCGCGTCTCTGAGTAAGGGTATACAAGTAAATTGAGCGGGGGAAGTGTTAACAGCCATTATGTTGGAAAATTTGACTCTAGTTACCTTCTGTTAACCAAAATGTAACTCAGGTAAACTCAACCTTCTGTTAACCAACAAGTAACCCAAGGTAAACTGTTCGATTTTGAAGGGGAAGGAGCCTGCAAAATGACGGTGGTGACAAAGACGATGGCGGCTGGAAGGCGATTTAAGGTTTCAGATTTACGGTTTTTAAGACGGTGGTGATGGGCAAGTCGCTTTGCGGTGTCGAAGACGGTAGTGGCGCTGGTTTAGCAACTTCAGGCGGCAACAATTGGAGTGGTGGGCCATCAGGCGACGGCGATTGGAGTGGGTATCGACTGGTGGCTTCAACGACTGAGGAAGCGGCTATTGGGGCGGTGCATGGTTGTGGGTATATATGATTTGTAATACTTACTCCAAGTTTTTGTCGATTTTGCTTATCTTCATCCCCTCTCTCTGATTGTTGAGGGTTAAAAGAGGCTTAACTGTCGTTAAGACCTACATTCCACTTTTTATCTGACACATGTGTTTACTTTATCCATATGTAAGCAATCTAGCAATTTCCAACTGATCTGTCACATGTTCACTCATGCGCACCCTGAGAAAACTTCCTAGGAAGTCACCCATCCCAAGACTACTCCCAGCCAAGCACGCTTAACTATGGAGTATTCTTAGCATATGAGCTCCCTAAAAGGAAGATGCAAGCACGCTTAACTATGGAGTATTCTTAGCATATGAGTTCCCTAAAAGGAAGATGCATCTTGTTGATATGAGTAGTATATCAAATCCTTTTAAAGCAATCATGAGGGGTATTACATACACCCCCACTTGAGAACGGCAACGCCCTCGTTGCGCCTGGAAAGCTAGGGACTCCAGTATTATGCCTAATGGCAACTGGGTAGCCAAAGTGTTACATCCAGTCTGGTTACGGCCATATGGCCCCAGAATTCTCCCCCGCTAGACGACTGACATAGGATTAATTATCCACGGTCAGCACGTGGTCGAAGGATTGCTCTAATACCATTTGTAACACCCCGACTCCAAACAAATTAGGGAGGGGCCTATTGTCATAAAATGCGCATCGAGGGCCAACAACTGTCCCCACAAATAAACACAAGTCCTTCTGGCGCATTTTGTCCTCACTCATGCGCACCCCGAGAAAACTTCCCAGGAAGTCACCCATCTCAAGACTACTCCCAGCCAAGCACGCTTAACTATGAAGTATTCTTAGCATATGAGCTCCCTAAAAGGAAGATGCATCTTGTTGATATGAGTAATATATCAAATCCTTTTAAAGCAATCATGAGGGGTATTACAAGTGGAAGATGTTTATCGAGGAGATAAATGTGGGGCTCCTCTTAAGTTCAAGATAGGTTGACTAAATAAAATACTACGAAGTAATCAAATATTGATTTATTTAACATATCAAATGCAATCTTATGTGAAGTATATGCCCCTCGAGTTGATGCAACTCATGCAAGCACCAATTGGGGTATCCATGTCTTTCACAATTTTTTGAGTGTGTGCAAATGGGGTTGAGGGTGGAGATATAATACCAAATAAGGAAATGGTGCAATTTTTAAGGGAGTATGAAGATTAGTTTGGTGAATTCATATGGTTTACTCCTTGCTTTCTACTCCGTTCTGTATTTTTAGTCTATGACCACTTGTAAGCTTTGATTCAATCCTTAATAAAGCACATTTTGCCTATGAGCCAAACAAATAGGGTTAGAGATAGTATAAAGTAGGCGAATAAACAAAATCTAAGTATCAAGAACAAATTTTAGAAAAAAAAAGTACAGAGTATATGTAACACAACAATAAATGGATGATTTATACGGAGTATGTTAGTCTTGTATTTTTGTAACCTATTTTTAATACTTTATGATAGGAGAAAGATAGAGAGAGTTTATTAACTAAAAAGGAAAGTAATGTAACTAATTTAAAACTTTCTTTTTAACAAAGTAATGCAATTAAAAAAAAAGTACATTTATTTCAGATGTAAAGAACGCATTCATCCACACAATTTTTCATGAAAAAAGGCTTCACGACAACCTAGCGTCCTAGCCCACACACTCTAACTTTTCCCTCAACGCACACTCTATCGAATTATTGATGGAATTGTTTCAAAAAAAAAAAAATTATTGATGGAACGAATTAACACTCTTTCAATGGACACCAAAATTAAACCTTGGAATCTACGATAGGGATGCTCCCATTACACAAACAACTCTCATCCCTAATGTAACCTTTGATGTTTCAAGAATAGTCAACGAATTAAACCAGTAGAATTGCACGATTACATTACATAAAATTCCAAATCGAAAAAGTTAAGTTAGAAGACATAATGGTAGTAATGTAGTATGTACAACGACATGAGCTAAAGAGGTCCCAATTATCAATCTTTTCATAGCTAGTCATCGTACAAGTTGTAATAATTAAGCATTTCAACTCATTCGGAAACTTAATTAAAGTGACAAAGTTACAGTCAGACAAGTAGGCTTGCTTGGTCTATTAATTTTAGGCACCAAACCAAATATGCATGTTGCTTTCATTTTAAAGTTGAACGTTTTTCCAATTTGAGCTCTAAACGTAAACTATTGACAAAAATGGTTGCGTGGCAAAACTATTTACCAAACTAAGCTTCCAGGGTAAATCGCTGTCTCGGACAGCGTTTTACCCCTGGTTTTTTTTTTAAAAAAAATTCAACTGGTAAACGTTGTCCCAGACAGCGTTTTACCTTCTGTATTTTTTTAAATTCAGTAGGGCATAAAACGCTGTCTCGGACAGCGTTTTATCCTTGGGTTTTTTTAAAAAAAAATTCAATGGGTAAAACGCTGTCCGAGACAGCGTTTTATGCCCTGTTTTTTTTTTAAAATGAAACGCTGTCCGGGACAGCGTTTCATGGCCATATACCCTAATATCAGCTCGTTTGCAGGCATTACACCACCAGGTTCATGGTGGGGTGGGGAATCGATCCTCGCGTTTTGGCGTACGTCGAGTTTGTCGGTTTAGGTGGTTTTCACCGTATGGCGTATAGGGAGATCGATCGAGCGCTTGTCACTGCGCTCGCGGAGAGGTGGAGACAGGAGACGCACTCCTTCCACCTACCTGTTGGTGAGACGACCGTTACGTTACGGGACGTGGCGATTCTTACGCGCCTTCCAGTACATGGGTCTGCGGTGACAGGACACGCGTTAGTCGATCCCGTCGGTTTGGTTGGTCGGGTACTTGGTGTCTAGCCAGGTCCCGCCGATATTAGGGGATCCGGGTTGAGGACCGGCTGGGTCCGTGAGACTTTCCGTGAGCTACCACCAGGGGCTGATGACGCCCAGGTTCAGAGATACGCCCGGGCGTACTTGTTCTTCCTCATCTCGGGCGTGTTGTTCGGGAATAAGAGCGGGATCCATCTTCCGTATTACCGAGACGCCCTAGACCGACTCACCGAGGACCAGGTAACAATTTAAAATACAGTTTTAGCTTTTTTGTTTTAACATTGTACTTGTTGCGAACTAACATATTCATAATATTACTGTTGATGTGTATTTACAGGTGACATGGGACCCGTATGTACCTGACTTGGTAGATGCCATGCCTCCACATCTGCTAGACCATCAGGCGGAGTGGCGTGCTAGGGTCCCCCTGATCTGTTTCGAGGTTGTGGAGAGTCACCTGCCCGACCGAGTCATGAGGCAGTTTGGACTACGCCAGACTATCCCACAGGGGTGTGACACTAGTGTACAGCTTCACGGCATTGATCGTCGGGGAAAGGGGGAGACCAGCTGGGCGCTGGAGCATTGGCGTTTCCTTCAGCTATGGGAGCAACGGTTGGAGTTCATCGTTGGAGGTGATCTAATGCAGGGGGCTATGGATCCCGACGATCCGTACATGGTGTGGTACAGGCGTATCACACGACGCTTCATCAACCCCAGCTACGCACCACCATCCACACATTACCATCCAGCATATGACATCATTAGCGGATATGTGAGTTATTATTTTTCTACTCCTTTTCAACAATTTCCATATTTGTATGCCATAGATCTGACTGATCGATGATTACTGCAGGCGGCGGATATGGTGGCGATGGTTGATGCGCTATCAGTCTCCCTTGAGTGCGGACCCACTAGAGCCCAGGTCGAGCAGGTGCGAGATATGGGCGTCGCTACCTTACGGAGATATGGTCACGCTCATCTCGCCCACCGGCGGGACGGTCATGATGGCAACTCACAGTTCGATCTCGGCCAGAGCAGCGGTGGATGTGATCCTACGTCACCCAGACACGCAGAGGATTACAACATCCACAGTACTGCGCCCTCTGGTACCCAGGAGGACCCCTCGTCCAGTCAGCTGACTCCCCCACCGCCCCGAGACCCATTCACCACCGTCACTCATTACAGGCGGCGACGTGTCAGACGGAGGGCCGACACTCAGGAGGCAGGACCTTTACCCCGAATAAATGAGTCGGGCTAGTATTATCTGTTGTATTCCCTGTTATTTTGTGTAATGATGTACATAACACTTATGAAATTAATATAATAAATCTTTTTTGAATGACTCCGTGTGTGCTTTGAAGTTAATTTGGTGGTTGGACTGTTGTTGGGCTGTTTCGAGTTTTCTGCAGTGCTTAAAGTTGACGGAACTCCCAGAATATGGTGGTGGTACGTGGTGGGGAGTGGCGGAGTTGGTGGTCGACGGTGGTGGGGTAGGGCTGTGGAGCTGGCTGTTGTGGTGGCTGTTGGAGGACTGCAGCATGCAAGCTGTTTGCTGAAGCTTGTTTTCTGCCTGGATGCTGGTTGCTGTTTCCAGCAGAAAAGCGCTGTCTGAGACAGCGCTTTATGTTCAAGCATAAAGCGCTGTCTGAGACAGCGTTTTATGTTCAAGCATAAAGCGCTGTCTGAGACAGCGCTTTATGTTGAACATATAAAATAGTTGTAGTTGAATTTTTTTTTAAAAAAAAACCAGGGGTAAAACGCTGTCCGAGACAGCGATTTACCCTGGAAGCTTAGTGATTAGGGGATTTTTATCCACCAATCACCGTCTGACAAGTGGACCAACCAGGTTCCGCCACGTGTCCTTCACGAAGGCCAACAGGAGCCTGCCACGTGTCAATCACAGATACGTCCTCTACGGACCAATTTAGACACGCCACGTGTCCACCCATGCCAAATGGGAAAACCGGCCATCAAGGCCCAATTCAGTCTAGAGGCCCGATCAGCCCTAGGTTTACCTTAAACCTAGAGAGTGGCACGCTTCTCAAGGCTATAAATACTTAATTAATCCTCATTAGTTAGGTAATCGAAAAATCAAGAAATCAAGCAGAGAAGAACAGAGTTATGACGGAACATCAACAACCGGCTAATCTCGCTAACGACGCAGATTACCAACACTAAGCACTCTCACCTAGAGAGATCTCATTACTTTAATTTCCGTATTAATTACTCCTTAATCAGGTACTAACTTGACCGTTGGAGGCGGAGCTCTCAGGAGTCTCCGTTATTTTGCAGGTACAGGCGTCCGGTTCCAGTCTCGGAATTGTAACTCTCCCGCAGGACATCAGAAAACCCCGAAACATTTGGCGCCGTCTGTGGGGAGAGTACTTCAGAGATGGCATCCAAGTCTGTACCGACTCCAGAAGAGAGGCGTCCCCTAGACGACCCTCAAGTTCAGTCGGACCATGATACCGAAAGTGAATTTGAAGTTGAAACTCATACAGCTCCAGACGGGACCCTAAGGGCCCGACGTACCCGCCATACCGAAAGGAGGGAACGGGAGCATCTTCAAACAGGAAGCGAGCCAGCAGGCGCACCGCTTGCTCGGCAACAGGCGACTGATGGGTCTGCTCCCATCACAAGGAACGAACTCATGACCTTCATGAGGGACTTCAAGGGAGAGATTCAAGAGTTGATCAACAAAAAACCGCCTGCTTCAGTCAAAGAGCAGTCGGCCAAGAAACCTTCCACTTCACTGAAGAGGAAGCCAGTTCAAGGGCGAGAGGCGACTCCCCATCCTAAATCCAAGAAGCGGGAGCCACCTGCCCTTGATTTCACAAAACTCCGTTATCCTACGGGAAATAGGAAACCGGTTCGTCATATTCAGGCGGACGGGTCAAAGCAAACGTTCACAGATGCTCGGCTCCTGCTAGAGCAGAAGAAGAGTGACCGATTATCAGAGTCGGCTTCTACTTCAAATTTTCAAGACAGTTTGCGAAATGCCTCAATGAGGCATACTCAGTCGTACCATGAGAGTCAGTCAGGCGGCACCTCCCGTCAGTCCGGCTTTCATAGTGCCCAGGCGGTACCAAACTTACCATTTGTGCCGCAACAACAGTATTTTATGCAGCCACCTCCATTTGGTGGACCTGCAGCAAAAAACGTCCAACCTATGGACTGGCAGCTACGGCTGCTTAGACTTGGTGAACAGCCGTCGGCCTTCTCCAAGGAAATTACTGAAGCCGCTCAGCCGGCCAAAGTAAAAAATGTTCTAGTAGGCGCCTATGATGGCACTACTAACCCTGAATACCATCTGATGGCATTCACCAACCTGATGTACCTTCAAGGGTTGGATGATCCCACTTGGTGCAAGTGTTTCCCAGCGACTCTCAAGGGAATTGCACAGCAATGGTTCGGCAACCTGCCGACTGGTTGTGTAAACAGCTTCAGGACGCTTGCTTACTTATTTGCCTCCAACTTCGCTATGAACATCCCTGCGAAGAAAACGACCCTTGATTTGGGAACAATTCAGCAGGGCGAGAAGGAGGGGCTACGTTCTTACATCAGGCGGTTCAACCTGATGAGAATACAGATTCAAGGGTTACCGGATGAGGTAGCTTATACTGACTTTTTTAGAGGTCTCAAAGACGGGTCTACCTTCAAATTTGATTTAGTTCGAAAAAGGGTGGCGACTCTTCAAGAGGCCTTGATTGAAGCAGAAGCCTATATACAGGCGACTGATCTGTGTACGATAAAACAGTCGGACGGGAAGAGGTTCGACAATAGAGAGGGACGACAGAAACAGTCGTCCAACAAAGATGAGAAAAGAAAAGAGGTCTGGGCGGCTGACTCCTCTAAACAGCCGACTCAGAAAAAGAAAAAAGAATTCAAACCATACTCCCCAAAGTATGTGTTTAACAAGGATAACCAGAGTATCCTAAAAGAAATAAAGGGACGGTTCTCAACTGAGAAGCCGCTCCCCATGAAGGGTTCTGCAAGCAACCGGAACCAAGACAAAATCTGTGCTTATCATGATGACGTTGGTCATCACACAAATGACTGCATCAGTCTCATGCGGTACCTAGACCGCTTGGCTGATCAAGGTGATCTTGACACTTATGTCAAGAAATCTACGGGGAACACTTCCTCAAAAAAGCAGTCGGCCAAAAAGAATCAACAGGCCGACAGTTCCGATACAGATGATGCAGTCGTCTACACCATTGCAGGCGGCTTCTCAGGAGGCGGCCCCACTATTAGGGGCAACATACATCCGGTTAGATGTAAATTCTGTTCACCAAGAACGGCCGTCCACATATACGTTTCCTGAGATTGTCATCACTAAAGAGGATCTAGGAGGAATAAGGGGGCCGCATGACGACCCTCTCGTTATTGAATGTAAAGTGGCCAACCAGAGAGTTGGCAGAATCCTCATCGATACCGGGAGCTCCTCAGATCTCATCAGCAGCAAATGTCTGTCAAAACTGAAATATCAGACGGACTGCATACATCCGGCCTCCCACCCTTTAATAGGGTTTGGAGGAGGAGGAGTCCACCCACTGGGACGAGTAGATCTACCCATTCGCCTGGGCGAGAAAGGGGAAGGACGACACATGGTAGTCCGGTTCCTAGTAGTAGAGGAACTCTCGGCCTACAACATGATTCTGGGTCGACCAACCCTGAATAATTCCAAGGCTGTTATAATCCCGTCTCTTATGCTGCTTAAGTTTGAGAGGGATGATGGAACAGTCGGCTCCCTAAGGGGAGATCAGAGGATGGCCCGAGAGTGCTATCTCTCGGATGTCAAGCCCACTGTTATGGCCACTGGGTCAAGTGGAGAAAAAACAGACCTTGACAATGTCAAGAAGAGTGCGCCTGTTCAAGAAACAGGCGACAAAAAGAGAAAGGCGTCCCAGACAGAGTCCGCAAGAAAAGCAAGAAAATAGCAATCATTGGCAGAGGAGCGGCCGGATGAGTTCCGCCCTCAGCCGGCTGGTGAGCATGCGGACCTGATATTAGACGACTCCCGTCCTGACCGAACAGTCAAAGTTGGGACGACTGCTCTGAGAAACCTTGGTGACGACTTTCACAACCTGTTGAAAGAATACAAGGACATCTTTGCATTTGAAGTCCATGAAATGCCAGGCATTAGTCCTGATCTGGCAGTACACAAACTCGCTGTGGATCCGAAAAAGAAGCCAGTACGGCAAAAGAAGCGGAACCATGGTGAAGAAAGAGGGCAGGCGGCAGCCGCCGAAGTCAAAAAATTACTTGATGCAGGGTTCATTCGGCAATGATACTTCCCAGATTGGGTTGCAAATGTGGTGCTTGTTAAAAAGCCGAATGGCACCTGGCGAATGTGTGTAGACTACACAGACTTGAACAAGGCGTGCCCCAAAGACAGTTACCCTCTGCCTAAAATTGATAACCTGGTCGACTCAACAGCCGGACATGCCTTGATGAGTTTTATGGACGCCTATTCTGGTTTTCATCAAATTCCTTTATGGAAGAAAGATCAGGAGAAGACGGCCTTCGTCACTGATCAGGGATTGTACTGTTACACGGTCATGCCGTTTGGTCTTAAGAATGCCCCGGCTACCTTCCAACGAATGATAAACACAGTGTTCTTTAATCAGATTGGGAGAAACGTCGAGGCATATATTGATGATATGATTGTCAAGACTAAACTTCAGAAAGATCATCTGACGGACCTCCGAGAAACTTTCGCCACACTCAGGCGGCACCATGTCATGCTCAATCCCAAGAAATGTGTATTTGGAGTTGAGTCTGGGAAATTTCTCGGATTCCTTATCAATCAGGGAGGAATAGAGGCGAACCCTGAGAAGGTACAGGCGGTCATTGACATGCAGTCGCCTCGTACCGTCCGAGAGGTTCAGAAGTTAACAGGTTGTCTGGCGGCCTTGGGGAGATTCCTAAGCCGATCAGGCGACAAATGCCTATACTTTTTCCAGGCAATTAGGAAAAAGGCAAGGTTTGAATGGGGGCCGGATGCTGAGGCCGCCTTCCAGAAATTAAAGGTTCACTTGCATTCCTTGCCGAGGCTGGTCAGCCCTTTGCCCAAAGAAGATCTCTACATGTACCTGGCCGTCTCTGATCATGCGTTAAGCGCTGTGCTCCTAGCTGAAAGGGACGGCTGTCAGCTCCCGGTCTACTTTGTCAGTCACGTACTGAAAAATGCCGAGTTGAGGTATCCCCTAGTGGAGAAATTTGGTCTTGCACTCTTCATGGCTGTTAAAAAATTGAAGCCCTACTTTTTGGCACATGCAGTCGTCGTGTATACCGACCAACCAATCAAGCGGCCCCTTACCACCATGGAGTCGTCCGGACGAATGATCAAATGGGCCATAGAAATGCAGAGTCTCGAAGTTACTTTCGAGCCTAGAAAAGCAGTGAAGGGGCAAGCCTTTGCTGACTTTATTGTAGAGATGACTCGTCCTCCTGACTCTCAAGTTCCAGACCAAGTCTGGAAGGTATATGTGGACGGAAGCTCTACTTCAAACGGTTGTGGAGCAGGCGTCGTATGTCAATCTCCAGAGGGCGACAGGTTCGAGTATGCTCTACGCTTCAGTTTTCAGGCTTCAAACAATGAGGCAGAATATGAAGCTTTACTAGCCGGGATCCGCATGTGCAAGGCGGCAGGGGCAAGAAAAATAGACGC